ACTTTTCAAATTTGGGAGTCTTGAAACCAGGCGGCAAGTGGACATCGGGGAACATACATAGATCTTTGAAGGCAACACTCTTTTGACCTGCCAACCCTTGCATGTTTTTCAACTGTTGTTCTAAGGTTTTCACTCTTTGGGTCATTTCTTCCTGTACCATCTTTCGGGCAGGCTTCTCAACGTTTGCAGGAAGATCAAACGAGTACGAGTGGTACTCAAGAGAGTGGTACTGCTCTTGTTGTGTAGCAAATTGTGACTCATGACGAGGCTATCCTTGACCACTGGCCCATGCTTGACACATTTCGGTCATTTGCTATTTCAGTATTCTATTTTTCTCAAACATAGTAGACTTTTGTTGAACCCTCTGACCTTGAGTCTCTTGAGCACTTGTGCACTTGTAACAGCTTCGATGTCAATTATCATTTTTTCTTGGATCTTATGTTTCCAGCTTACCACAAACCGACCACCTCAACTTTCTTCACAATTCAAAACAAAACATGTTAGAATGGACTCAGTCGGTCCTTATTGTTATCAATATTTTTCATTTTTTTTCATTTTTCTTTTCAATGGTTGATCGAACCTAATGTGGGTTGCCTACGTATCATGTGGGAACATGAATCAGATCTTGCGTAGTTCGGGAAGATTAAATAGACTAACTCTTTTTTTTATTTCCGAAGAAAGACTTATAAAGATGAAAGAATATTTTTTGGATTTCGATTTGTTGTTTTTGTTTTTTTTTTCGAATTTCGAAAGAAAAACTTCTAAAGAAGAAAGAAATATTTTTGAATTTTTGGACTTTTATTTTGAATTTATGAAAGAAATACTTCTAAAGAAAAAAGAAAATATTTTAGAATTTCGAATTTTCTTTTCAATTTTCGAAAGGAGAATGAAAATATTTTTGGATTTTTTGATTTTTTTTTTGAAATTTTTGAAAGAAAAATATATTTTTTGTTGGATTTTTGATTTTTTTTTTTGAATCTTTGGGAAAAAGACTTCTAAAAATAAGGTAGAAAATATTTTGATTTTAAAAATTTTTATTTGGGATTTTCTAAAGAAAGACTTCTAAAGAAGGAATTAAAGATTTTTTTTTTTAGATTTTTGAAAATGGGGGTCGGAACCGATGAGGTTTGCCTACGTATCTCACATTCGGTGAGAATCAAACCCGCATATTTCTGCCCCTGTTTTGACGGAACAGGAAAACATGACACTTGAAAATTTTGGCTCATTTTGAAATGACCTTTTTTTTTTCAGAATTTTGGCAGATTTTCAGAATTTTCTCAATACCTACCTCTCACTCTTTGATTTTCTATTTTTTTTCTTTTTTTTTTCTTTTTTGATTTTCTTTCCCTATTCTAGAAGCCGGTCAACATGCAAGCCGAAACAAACAGATGCGCAAGTAACACGTAAGATGCATCAGGATGGTCTTTTAATTTGGGTAAACCTGTCCTAGACGGACCCAATCCCTGTGTTGAGTGCCCAAAGTCAAATGCATGTGATGCAAACAAGCGTTCCTACTAGGGATCCGGCATGAGGTTGCGTTATTCTAGGTTAAAAACCTGGGTGTATTGTTCTAGACCTGGCTTACCCGAGCGGACAACTGGGGCCAAAGAGGGGGCAACGTACCGAGAGCACTAAAGTCTACCCGGCCTTGTTGCTGGCCCAGCCTCGATCTATTTGGTATAATTTCTACAGAAAAAGCGGGCCACGCGAACGTGTGCACCATTTTTAGAAGACTCAGAGGGGTGGCGTAAGAAGACATTTAAATATAGTTCAAGTAATATCAAAGCGGTAAATGACAATTAGCACATTAAGTCCATAAAATACAGTAATATCAACAATAAAGCTAAATAAAAATCGCATTAATAAGCTCGAATTCTTGAACGCTGAACCAGAAGTTCAGGGTTCTTATCCCCAGTAGAGTCGCCAGAGCTGTCATACCTCCTTTTTCCCTACACCCCGTAGAGGGTATAAGAGAGTTTTTTCCAATTTAAGTGACAATCAAAACGGGATTATTTATTTATTAAAAATCAGAGTCACCACTTGGGATAATTTATGGTGTCCCAAGTCACCGGTTTAAAATCCCGAATCGAGGAAGTTGACTCTTATTTATGGTCCGCGAACACAGAAATCCGGGTAAGGAATTTTGTTAACCCGGGAGAAGGTGTTAGGCACTCCCGAATTCTGTGACTTTAGCACGGTCGTTTTGATCATACTTAGTTTATCAAAATTATATAATTACTGATTTTAGAACCTATGTGCCTTTACCGCTTACCGCTTTTAAACTAAGAAAAATTATCTTGAAATAGGTCACGCGTACGTGTACCCATTTGTTTGGCGCGTCAAGAATCATGTCACGTGTGCGTGTACACAATTCACAGCGCTTAATTAATTATTAAGAAAAATTTAGCCGAAGTTGCACGAACGCATACTCTGAATTAGTTTTTAGAATCGTAATTATGTTACGCGAACGTATACACAATCACGGTGAGAGATTAGTATCAGTACACAAATAGTATAAAAGAACCCGTTTTCTACTATCAGCATATTTTCACTTTTCGTAATAGGTCATCTACAATATTTTAGTATTTTACAAGTCATCAGTTGCATTTTCTATAAAAGCTACTTGGAACTTATGTCATAGCAACCGAAAAACTTTTCCAGATTCACGACAAATTAAGAGTAATCCTTTTGAACTCCCAAATCTTCTTCTATCATACCAATTAGTGGGATTCAACAGCCTTAAAAAAAATAGCACAAATAAGTACAATACTACAATAATCTAAGTAATGAGCAAATTCCAAAAAAAAAATTGCACAAAGGAACAGAGAATGCACCTAAACAACAATAACAAATTAGTCAATGTTTAAACTAAATTGCACTAATGCATGATTCCTAGCCACAATCCGAATATAATATATTAGTATACGTTAATTGCACCTTCGCCATTTTTGAGGGCGATGGTGTGCCGCTCGAGAAGGAATTGGTCCAGTAGAACAAATTCTTCAAACGGAAAATGACACCCAAAAATAAATAAAGCATAGGAGATAGTGGGAAGCAAAAATTCAGTCATTAAAACTTTGTGACACTAATTAATAGTTAAAGAAATAACCACATTTACAAATTGCTTCAATGCACTCGTTTCTGCCAGAAATTGAACAAGGAAAAGAAAAGGAATCTGACCGTGAAATGCAACAGTAGCAGGAGCTCGGACCGCGAAACCCGTCGGCAACCTCGAACTCGAACTCGCGCTCTATGATTTGAACACCCAAATTCCTAAATTCAAATTATTCGAAACGAAGTTAGGCCAAAGTCGTTCTCCTCTACTGTCTCCCACAATTTTCGTTTGTGCTTGTGTGTGTGGAGTGACTTTCTTAATTCTGGAGAGGAAAGGACGATGAAGATCTGAAATGGGAGGGAGTTCTTTTTTGATAAAATGGCGGATGGTGTTTTTAGAGTCCCCTTCAATTTAGGGATTATGTACTATTATATAGGCGTAGGGATTAGGTTAAAGGGTATGGGCCTAGAAATTATGGGCTAAGGAGTTGTGGGTTAGGTCCAACATTAGGCTTAAAAATGGGTTGCTCGAGCCCAATTTTTTATTCTTTCCGCGAATGAGCCTAAAAATACGACCTTATTTACTAATTAATCTTATTTAAGTAAAATAACCATTAAAATAAGACTAACCGTTAAAACAAACCTATTTTTTTATTTTCAAAATATCATACTAAAAGATAAAAAATGAAAAAATCATTGTAAAATTAAGATAATATTCCTGGAACTATTTTTGTATTTTTGAATTTAATAGACAAATTAAAAGTAACTAGATAAAAATATTAATTAGCTAAATAAGAGAAGATAGTTTTGTAATTTTTATTTTTTGTGATAAAATAAAGCAAAATGAGTCAAAATTAGTTGAAATAACTGTATTAGGCCTAAACTAAATATTTACACGCTAAAATATATAAAATCTTGGGGAGGGTCGAAAATCACATGTCTACACCATATACTTCGCAAATGCGAAGGCAGAAATCTCGCAAATGCGGCAGGGTTCTTCGCAAATGCGATTCTTCCCTAGCAACCCAGACTTCGCAAATGCGATGGCTGCTTCACAATTGCGTCTGTCGCATTTGCGACCAATACATCGCAAATACGATGATACCAGTAGAAGCAATCAAAAATTAAGAAAAATCATTCAGAAACCAATCTGAAACTCACTCGAGCCCTCGGGGCTCCAAACTAATCATGCACCTAGGTCCAGAAACACAACACGAACTCGCTCGCGCGCTCAAATCATCAAAATAACTTCTAAAACCATGAATCGGACGCCGAAACGCATGAAGATCAAACTAAACTTCAAGAACTTCTAGAATCACAATCGAGCGTCCGAACCATATCAAATCAACTCCAAATTGCGCCAAATTTTGTAGACAAGTCACATTTGCCATTACGGAGCTATTTCAACTTTCGGTATCGGAATCCAACCCCGATATCAAAAAGTCGGCTCCCCGTCAAACTTCTCAAAAATTCAACTTTCACCATTTCAAGACTAATTCGACTACGGACCTCCAAATTACAATCCGGACGCACTCCTAAGTCCAAAATCACCCAACGGAGCTAACGGGACTGACAAAACTCCATTACAAGGTCAAATGCTAAAAAGTCAAACTTGGATAATTCTTCCAACTTGGAACTTAAATCTTGAAGTTCATTCTTCCAAATCGATTCCGGATAACATTTAAACCAACATCGACGATTTACTCAAGTCATAATACATCATGCGGAGATACTCGAGCTCTCAAAATACCGTGCGAAGTGCAGATACTTAAAACGACCAATCGGGCCATTACATGAGATTTATTTGAGACATTTGTGTAAGTTTCCCTTATACTTATACTCGCGAAATTAAACGAATGTTAGAACAGCATCAATATATTAATTAGGCTAATCATCCATTAATAAACACCACTAATCACACAGAACAACCAAAAAAATAGAGAAGGGAAACCGAAACGTTGAAATCAAATTCTCATAACATGCAGCATTTACATTATAACGTAAACTCGGCTCGCTTAGTACTCCACAGCTAGTAAGAAAATTTCTCAATTCTCATTGTATTTTCTCCTCATCAGAAAAAGCACAATTTATTACATACAAACAGAAGAGCAAAACCTCTGAACACAATAAGTACAATAAGTATACCAAACCAGAAAAGGACACAATTACACCCCCAACAAATTATTTGCTATATAGCCTTCCTCATGCCAAAGAAATACGTTCCAGCAGAATCATCGTCCTTAAAACACTTCAATTGATCCTGAAAAGTAGTAACATTGTAGAAATTCAGAAACACATCAGTTTTGGGAAAGATATTCATCTTTTTTAGAGCATGTGATAAGATGTCCATGAACCAAAGGTTGCTCCAAAAATTTCAAAACTTTATCGTTTAAAGTTTTGGTATATCCATTACAAAAATCATCTGACACCATTAATTATAAGGACTATTCGACTAAATTACCATACATCCATTATAAATGTATTTGATACCATTAGCTATAATGTCTACTTGACTAACTTACCTTCTCTTTTCTTAAACGAGTAATTAAGGACCATATATCTTCTTGGTGTAGCAAGAGTGCAATTAGAAAAAATATAATGTTTTCTTGATTTTCTAAAGTGACAAATAACTTAGACCAATTTTTTTCGGCCAAAGTAGATAAGAAGAACTGAGGGGAGTAATTTTTTTTTGTGTGCGTGG